AATTTATATAAAAACGTAGGTCTAACGTTTACACGAAACTAAACAACAACCATTTACGTTTCACTTACGTATCAAAGCTAATTAATAAGAACGTTTCAGTGGTATTAATAGACAAATCAATTTGGTAGTACGCATTGATCAATCTGTTACCATTTGGTTAATATTTGATTTTATATGATTTCATTCCTATGCTCCCGGGTTCTCGTGTTAACTGTATGTGATCAAAGGAAAGGTTGTAAATACATATACATAATACGTACAAATACATGTACATAAGTCTAAACATTTCTCCAGTTGTTTTCTTAACCCCTTTCTACGTGGTCTTAAACTTTGTGACCGCAATGAGGGGTGATATTCTTTCTTCTTTAGTCTTTTATTTTGAATGAAAAAAAAGTATTTGCATAGTTTTAAAGTTAATGAGTAGAAAAAATACAACGATAAAAAAAATGTAATTTCTTTTTGTAAGCACTGACCAAAACTTTAACAAGAATATGGATATCTTAATATGATAAAGCTATGTTTTTTCCGGTTGCTTCTGTTTTTAAAACCGACACATTTTTTCACTCTTTAAATAAACGCCAATTTAAACCATAAAAGAAAAAAAGAAAAAAATTATCAGTATGCATGGGTCCACTGTACTCTTCAAAGATTAACCGAAATGATTGTTTTTCAAAACAAAAATTAATGAGTTTAAATTAAAAAAAATTATTGCGTTTAAATGCAAAAAAAAATATTGCAATTAAACACAATACTATTTCGATTAAACGCAATGTTTTTATGCGATTAAAGGCAAAAGTATTGTGTTTAATTGAAATATATTGATCTGAAACGTAAAAAGTATTGCAAATAAACGCAATAATAATTATTGCATTTAATCGCAAAATTATTTTATATTGAGTATAGGAGACGCAGTCCCTACAAAACAATATTGATAGATTTTGTCAATTGTCTCATTTGGGCAAAGAACGGAAACTATAGTGAGGTTTTTATTTATGCTTTGAATTAATTAATTTAAATATCTATTGAATATTTATTTATTGAAATTCTGTATATTTGTTAATAAATACTGATAATGGTGAATTTCAAGTTCAACTTTGTAATATACACGAAACAAAACTTATTCAAAATGTTCGCGGACAACCCTCATAAAGAAGACTACTGTTAATCAGAATATATTTTTAAGACCCCTTTCACACAAACTATATATATGTATTTAAAAACGTCTTAATAATCGATTCATATTTCGACGATTTTTTAAACAATTAAAAATCATATTTATTCATATATCAGCAGAATATATCCCAGTGAGCTTGATTTTAAAATAAAACAGATCTAGAGTGTTTCATATTTGGATATCTTAATTACTAGATGTAAACATATATTCATTTCATGTCACAATTGTACTATTAGTCAGATTCTAAATTTAAGACAATACCAAAATGATCATATCTAACCTCAAGTATGCCTCCTGCAGAATCAAACAATAAACTATTTGGACAATCCTAATTTATAAATGAATGGGACTTTAGAACACACGAAGAAAATATTGTTTAAAACAAAACGAGACCATAAAGCCATTTACAACAAAATCATCATCAAACTCTCCAACTGATCTAACAACTTCAACTTCACCTTCAATCAATTCAGTGTCATTTTTATCAACATCCACTGTAACAACATCTTCACAGACAACCTCTACATCCTTAACACAATCAACTCCCAAAAATGTATCTACCACTGAAACTAAAGAGAGTGGAACAACAAAAGAAACCAAAACTTCACCGACATCAACTTTCGATTCAACAACCATAGGACAAGGAACAAGCCCTAAACATACTGAATCAACTCCCCACGTAACAGAATCATCAACACGTGCATCAACGCAAACCAAAACAACAATTTCATCTACAAAGGACAGCACTGTGCCATATACTACAACAACACAATCAACAACATCAGAATCCAAACCCCTAGACACAAGCCAGTCATCTACGAAGACAGTGACTCAAACTAGTACTACCACCTCAACTCCAACTTTTACTACTGAATCTACAACATCAGTGCAGTCATCAACTTCTACCACTACATCTACAACAAAAAGTCAGCCAAGTTCATCGCCATCAGTTACAAACCAGAAATCATCATCATCAACAACAACAACAACAAAGCCAACAGAGACAACAAGTCAATCATCAACAACAACTAAAAGTACAACAGAACATCAAAGTAGTTCGTCACCATCAGTTACATCTCAGACATCATCTTTTACAACAACAACAACAACAATAACAAATACACCAATAGAAACAACAAGCCACTCGTCGACAACAGTTGAAATGAGCCAATCCTCAACATCAACAGTTGGAAATCAATCAACAGCTTCCTCAGACAGTTCAGGTTCGACAGCATCCCACAATGCAACACAAAGTCCTGCACAGGGTAAACCTAGTGAAAAGACTAATGACGTGCCGCGTAAGTGTTTCCTTGTACTTAAGAGTTTACGTGTTTCGGTGGAAATACGAGAACTTACTACTTAAATCGTTTTTCATTAAAGTTGAACTTGTCGTGTATGGTTCAAAACATATAATAAATAGGGAGCTACTTATAATACGAGGGTTGATCCAAAAGTTCGTGGAATTTCTCTCTAAAATTTTATCGTGATTTGATGAAATCAATCAACAGGCATATTCATAATTTAGAGTCATAATACAACAATATTGGAAAATTTCACTACTTCCAATTACGAATAAGGTCACACGAACTTTCTGAAAATGGATAGTTGGGAAACCCGGGGGAGACTTCGACGTAACGTCAAGTTAAATATTTCACGTCACATTATAGAAGCATCTCGTCCAAATGTCCAATTATAATACGTAATTCTACAAAATGCTGCCTTTTCCCCATTTTTCTCTCTCAAAAAAGCCTGAGTATCATCTCGCGCCAACTTATCTTCATTTTTCACTTATATTTCAAAAATACTACCCATCTTTCCATATGATGTTCCAGTTTCAGTAGCAATGTCAAGAACAGTACGGCAACCGACAACGTCCATTAACGTTTTTAAATTGTCTAGGGGGATACGTACTTAAACAGGACCTCTAAAGAGCGACCACACCTTTTATCAACGTCCATGGAAGTTCTGTTCGTCTTAAATTTCTTATGCCACCGGAAAACCAGTAACTAAATGCATTTTTTCCAAGCCTATGTCAATAATATACGCGTTTAAGATGAGTGATCCCGGGATTTTCACAAAACGTGTGACTTGACCGAAATTTGACGTTATCTAACAACTTAAAGATGAGTAATAAATCATCAACTTATATACTAGATATCCAGTAAAATCAGTAAAACTCTCACACAAAGGTTCATAAAAGATCAAGCAATCGTAATAATGACATAATTTTCGTTTTATATTCCACATATGGCGGTTTAATTCTTATTTTACGAATTAAAAATGTAAATGATGATAAACGCGTTAATGTCTCCCCGGCATTTCCAAACAACCGTTTCTATGGCAACTGCCATAAAGGTACTATCGAAGATATTTAAAAGGTTTTTTTAATTTAAAATATTCATCAAGTGTCTATATTTTCTTTTGTAATTTTCAACTAATTCCACTGAATAATAAATAAAATATGAAGAAATTCCACGAACCCTCGTATATGTATTTATAACCTTTTCTTTAATCACATACAGTTAACAAAATAACCCGGGAGCATAGAAATGGAATAATATAAAATCAAATATTAATCAAATGGTAAAAGATTGATCGATGCGTACTACCAAATTGATTTTTTCTATTAATACCACTGAAACGTTCTTAATTTTCTGTGATGCATAAGTAATTGAATAAAAGCATCGTTTAAAGTGTTGAGTTCTAATAGGTTGAAGAAACTGTGGTTGTTAGGATGCCATTGTTTAAGTACAATTCTCAATAACTGTACCATTTTGCAAAAAGACACGGAACCAAACTTCTTCTTTAGGGAATCGGACCATACTATTTATTATAATCTTTTGCTAAACGATGTCTGATTTCAAACTACAGCACTATAGCTTTGTGTTTAAGTGCCAAAAAGTGCTTAGAGGGGATTATTGGGTTAATCGCAGTCATGGTAAGGCTGTCCGAAGGCTTAAAATGTCTTAAAATATACATTTTAATTTGAGCTAGATTTTAATTTCAATATGTTATCCTTGTTTAAAATTGCAGTCAACTTGAGACAACAGTTTAATCAGGTATTATAATAAAGCATTTCTGTGATGTCAGATCACTCAGATGACTGTGTTGATCACGTGACGGACATTTTTGATATGTTTAAATGTTGCACAAAAATCGCATCGGCACAAGTGCATAACACAAATATTGTGCAAAGTTTGTTACATAGATCAATTCATCGTGATCCATGGTGCTTAAAAAGTGCTGGGGGCAGGTTTAATTTTTCCTTCTGAAGAAAATATTTTACGCAAAATTAAAATTACCAACGTAAGAAGGTGTATTTTCCACTCTTTATCGCGATTTATACAAAAACGGATAAAATGCAAACGATCCCCCAGCAAAATTCAGTTAGAAGACATACTACTCTTTTAGATTCACGCAAAATATCTTCAATTTATCCTTGTCTTTCACTTGTGCCAGTCCAAATAAAAACATGATTCATAAATTCTAACTTTGTGTACGGAATTGTAAGGGGAGCGTTTCAAACAGAAATTTTTGCTATTGCTTGAATATATGCATATCGGACAAGCAAAAGGAATGCATATTTGAATATCAAATGTTAAACATTTTTACAGCACACACAAGGTTATAAAAACAAAACTTACTCTTGAATTAAACACAAATCCCCATAATAAATCTACATGCCGTGTAATAATTTAGACACTTTTCCCCGTCATGTCAGCTCAAGTATGCAGTGGCTTGACGTCATATTCTATTATGACGTCATATCTAGGTAGTTCAGAGAAGTTAGTACAGTTTGAACAGTTTAATATTTTACGGACAGCCTTATCCTAGCTGCGATATTTTGCGTTTAAGTGCTATAATATTGCGAATAAACTCAAACGTTTGCGTTTAAACGCAATAACTTTGCAATTTAACGCAATAAATAGATTTCTTCTCTTGAACTGGCGTCAACAGGCTTTCATAATACTGTCTCATA